AGATGACATGAAGCTGTGATGACATGAAGCTGAGACAACATGAAGCTGTAATGACATGAAGCTGAGATGACATGAAGCTGAGATGACATGAAGCTGTAATGACATGAAGCTGAGACGACATGAAGCTGAGACGACATGAAGCTGTGATGACATGAAGCTGAGACAACATGAAGCTGAGATGACAAAGATTCTGATTTGCTCCATGATCTACTCTGAACAACCAAACCAACATCTGGTCAGTTTTTAAGTTTTGCTCGTCATCAGAGCCAGTTTATTCCCATTACAAGTCCAAACAAAGGACAGACGACTTCCCATCAATACTTAATTTGTGCAAACTATTTTTACCTTGTCTCAAGATACGTGGCCCCATGATCAGCTTAGTGTGGCAAACTAAATCCAATGTGCATAAATCAGTGGTGTTCACCATCTTTTCCCCTCTACAATCAGCTGCTCTTATGAATCCCTCCATTGATAAGGCAAATATAAAAACCACAGTATGTTAGTCATGTCTCTGAAAAGAGCTTTTAAAGATAAAGGGGGAAACTTTTTTATTTTCAAAGTAAAACATGCTTCAGAACACATCCCTTTTGCAACCATTCTTAACAGTCAAATGCCACAAAATTATGTAAAAAATTTATTTAAGGAGATTTTACTTTTTTAGGTTCTGTAATTATCAATTTTTGCTCTTTTACACATTTTACTTTGGGAACAATTTATTTTCAACACATATTTGTCTTCAGAAATGAAGAAGCTCTCTCTGGCTTTCAAGAATGTGGCAAATTTTCACCACAMACCATCACTGGAGCTGGCTTTTCACCAAGACCAAACCAGATTTAATCACAGCCAGAATCTAAATCAGTTACTTCACAAATTTAATGACTATATATTCTGTTTTAAAGGCCAGTCTCAGACTGAGTTGTGCAGAAAAAGCAGCAAATCAAATAATTATTAAATAATACTTCATGAGGCCCTTACAATTTATCTATAGGGTCAGATGTTTTACTACATTTAAAAAGCTTGAACTTTCTGTAGTACAATCAGAGGTGCATGGGGAGAAAAAAAAATGCATAAACCCATCTGAACCGTGTATATATTTACAGGTTAGTGCTACATTACAATAGAATACAGTTTATAAAAAATAAAGTGAACAGAAGCGCACTGATAGTGCACAGAGGCTTTAARTTAATTTAAAAGTCTTATTTGCAGTCGTGCTGAGATCTCTGATGCTACTCAGATCTGTTTATTAGAAAAGCTCCAGGTGGTTTTTGCTGAACACTCAAACCAGCAGAGCTGAGCTGAGTCTAAATTCGTCGTTAAAAAAAAATCATGCTAACCATGAAAGATGATTAGAAAAAGAACCTTATTTAAGTGTAGCCATTTTCATTTCAGAAGTACATTTCAGGAGATCAAATCATAAAGGTGGGGTTACAAAACAGATCGTGGTAAAAAGATGAGGGTGGCCAAAAAATAATGTGCAGATCTTGGAGTTGCATCTAAGGTCTCAGACAGAGCAGAACAAGAAGGCAAATAAGTAGATTTTCATATGTTTTAAACTACAACTTCAGACTTTACATTTTATTTTTACAGTATAAAATTGCAAGTCATTACCTTTAATCATCTGCTACAAACCACTGATTTCATACACACACTAACACACAGACAGTCATTTGTCAGGAGAGGGTCTGATCAGCTAAAAACAATAAAACATTTCCTATAAGAGGTTGGCAAATTAATAACTTATTAATGCTAATAAACACTTACAGCGGGTAAAATAAGTATTGAACACGTCAACATTTTTCTCAGTAAATATATTACTAGAGGTGCTAATGACATGAAATTTTCACCAGATGT